TCCTCCGGTCTTTCGACTTTCGATCGACGATGGTTTTTCCTACGTTGACGATCGACGACGGCCGAGAATTTCCAAGGCGGCGCGATTTCAGGAAGCTTTCGGGTCGCGACGAAGCTGCGATTTTTTCCCTGCTTTTTTTTTAAACACGCGATACGTGTATTACTCTCGACGAGGGGGTGACTGCGCGACGATAACGCGCGCAGGAATATTCGCGGACGCGCTCCGGCCATTTTGCGGGCTACGTAGAGGCACAACGTAGATGCGTCTCCCGATAACGAAACGCCTCTGTCATTCCGGGTCGCCGTGATTTGTTTTTATTTCTGACAGTTCGAAGGATCCACCTGCGAGAGCCGAGCGAGTAATCGCGAAGATGATTTCGCTAGTCCCGCGTTTCAAGTTGCCGGGAAAGGGAAACGAAAAGAAAGAGAAAAAGAGGGATGATGATGAAGCTGACGACGAGAAAAGAGAGTCCTTCAATCGACCACGGTGGCGAGCAGCAGCCGCGCCTCTCGGAGGCTGCTTTATCGACTGGAAACACCATCGCTCGTATATGCCACCATGGCGTATCCACGCTCCGGACTCGCTTTTTCGACCTTTTTTTCAACCCCCTTAATCCTTTCTCGGGGGTCGTCGAAGCGACGTGGCACAATAGCTAAAATCGGGCGTTTCCGGCCGCGATAATCCACCGTCATCGTAATCGTCATCGTCGTTTGCAAAATCCCTCGTCCACGTCGCCCCACTATCCGGTTCTTCACCCTTTCCGACCTCTTCCTGCGACCGCGACTCACGTCGAAGCAAGCGCGCGACACCGAGATATCGACGACATATATATATATATATATATAATAAACCGGGACACACTTTCCACATTCTGTACCATCGACGAAAAATCGGAAGTGGAGCACCAGGACGAGGACAATGTCCCATCACACCAGTAACTCTTTAAAGGCGTACTGCTGTGACAGGACAATATCCCCGGCCGATGGGCTGATTTCTTTTCGCCAGATATCTTCCTTCCTCGACCGCAGCAGGTTGCGATATTGCGCTCTTCTCCCTCCGCTGTCCTCACCCCCTCTGGCGAGGGGGTCTCTGTCTCCCTCTTTCCTTTTCCCGCGACGACTCTCGGCTGCGACCGTCGAGAGCGGGTCGCCGAGCGAGATATGACGGCCGGCGAAAAACACCCCTTTGCGAAGGCCGTATCATTCGGTCGAGCGTCCCGACGGCACTGCGTCGCTCGGTGGCGGCGGCGCCTCCGCACCCTCTCTCCGTCCACCCACTCGCCCCCCCCCCACCCCCACTAGAACTGGGGCTCTTGGAGCCCTCTCCTACCTAGTGGGGAAAACTTGCCCCCTTCGATATGACTCTCTCGGTCGCGTGTACGTACGCATGCGCGGAGAGACGATGATGCGCGTGTGTGTACTCGTACGTGTATCAGGGTGAAACAAGGGGGGTTCAGGGCGCGGAGAAGAATAGCATTGGCGCGAGAGGGGAACCGAGAGAGTACAACCCCTCGACGTTGCTGGGGGCGGACGCGGAGACTGCTGCTGCTGCTGCTGCTGCTAGGTACTGGGATATGTCTGGCGATACTGAAAATACTGAAACTACACGCGCTCCCTTTCACAATGCCCAGCCGCCATCCTCCCTTCGCAACCCCCCAACCCCCTTCTCTCTTTCTTTTATTTTTTGTCTTTTCTCCACCGTTGTTTTTGTCTCTATCGTTTGCTTTTACACGTTACACCTGTACGCCTCGTCCTCGTTGTGATGTGTAAGACGATCGAGGTCATCGGTGGAAATGGAGGAGAAAGAGGATACTTGTCGGGGACATTCGCGAATTTCGCGGAATTGATGCGCGCGTTTCGATAACTGCGATCACGTGTTTCGTCTCACGGGGGCGATTTATTTGACTGATGTATTTATGTATTATATATGTGTATCGATTTCTCGCGATAACGATGCGGTTTGATTAAACAATCAACGAGCCGCATCGCGCCAGCTGATTGCTCACTCGCATTCCGGAGCGCCTACCCCGGCGTTAAACGTTTTTTAATCTCGCAGTTTACGGGGCGAGATATCTCAATTTCGCGACGTTCGATAACCGCGAAGCGCGCAACGCTTTACAACGGGAAAATTAAATCTGCGCAACCGTGGAATTATTACCTCGCGCAGCGCGAGTTTAAATTCGTAAACGGCGTAAAACAACGAGGTGTAACGATCCGATAACGAGGGTCGAGCGAAATGCATGCCGGATGTCGTGATCGAGAGAGAACGCGATTAAAAAAAATGGAAAATCACGGAAATTTTACAGCTCCGTTCATCGATGAAAATGATACAACATGAATGGAACCGTGATTTTTTTCGAACTTTATTCCACATTTCTTGCAGACGGAACGGATGAATTCATCGATTGATTTTTTTTTCTGACGTCCTCGAAACTGTTCTTCTCCGATCTGCAGATTTAGTAAAAAAAATGTCTAGAGAAATTTCCCGATATCTCCGACGATAAACGAGAAAGGGGGAGAAGAAAGAGTTTAATAATCACGTCGTAGAAGGCATGGAGGACCCGGTGACAGACGGCGGCGTCGTAAGACGTTTTCCGCGCCGATCGCGAACCCATGTGCGAATGTCGGGCTTCTGCCAGAGTTGTCAACATGGCCCAGAAGTGGCACAATATTGGCTGCCAAGACTTGATAGGTGGTACTGCCCCAGTATACGGATAAACCACCAGATCAATACTGTACCAGTCTCGGTAATTGGTACTGTACCAATACTCCCATGCAATCATATTCTGTTCCGAGTCTCGTCTCAGTACTGATCGTGTATAAGGCCGAAAATGGTATTAATCGATGGCCGAGAATCGTCTTAGTACTGGGCATGTATTGAGTCGACTCGTGTCGGATTATTGGGAAGCAAGCAACTTTGTCTGCAGCACGAGTACCGGTTCAAGTATACTGGAAGAAAATTGGGCCAATGTTTGTGTATCGTACTGACACAAAATATTTTCTATACCGAGTCAAATATCGTATCAGTACTGGGCGTGCACTGGGGGCGAGACGTGAAACAGTACTGAGATGAGAAAAGTTATGTTGGATAAAATCGTATATATTGGATCAGCACTGGAGATACATTGGGCCATACGTTGGTGTATGACAACAAATATTTTTATTTTGAAACATTAATTTATAATGATTTTAAACATATCGGTTATTCTAATGTTAGATTTGGCCCAATACTGATACTAATGAATGTTGTCCCAGTATACTTTGTGTCGGGCCAAAGTTGGCATCAAGAGTTGGCCCAACATTGGCAATCAACGTTGCCTCTGTACTAATTACTCTGTGTAGGGCCGAGACTGGGACCCGTGTTATCATTCCGACATTGTCCCAGTAATGACCCCGATCTCAACTTATACTGGCCCAAAACCTCAGCCAGTACTGGCACCAGTATTGAGCCTTTTTGAGATTCGCACATGGGGAGGAGGGATCGCTCGCGAAGGGTAGTCAACAACACGAGCGAGTCGAGCCGAGCCGAGCGGAGCGGAGCGGAGCCGAGCCGCGAGAGAGGACTCGCGGAGGAGTGTATTGATCCACCAGCTGCGCGTTCTCGTCGGCGACGCGCCCCACCGCGCCACTCCCAACCCCAAACGACTCGCTCGTTTCGCTTCGACCTCTCCCTCTCTCTCTCTCTCTCTCTCTGCCACCCCCTTGTCCGATACCCCCTGCGACACCCCTTTACAGCGCATGTCGACCATGCCGCTCGCGGCGATATATCCGAACCGGGCTAACGCACAATCCTCTCTCTCTCTCTTCTCTCTTTTTCCTGCTTCTCTCCCGACCTGCCGCGTCTCATCCACTCGCCATTCGCCAACCCCCTTTCCGCGCGCACAGCCACCGCCGCTGGTGCTGGTGAATGTACGACGCGTTGTGGATCCTGAGGGAAAAGGCATCGCGACGGCACGGTATATATCTCCGGTTAGATATACACGGACGAGAAACGACCGTAGCTTCTCTCTTGGTTACGTTTGCCTATCCCTCTTGCGAGCTGTCTTAGATGGTGGTATTGGTTTGTTACCTTTGCTCCCTCTCTCTCTTTCTCTCTTTCTCTGTCTACGAGAGATCTCTGACCGAGAAAGGAGGATGATGTACCATCCGACGCGTGTAATGCGCGCGCGGGATATCCGGCGCGGATTGTCTCACTTTGCGGCGAGCAGCGACATGTATAATAACATTTGTCATTGTCATTGCGAACGTAGCACAATATATATATAGATTGTATATATACACGCGAAGGACAAAGTCGTCGCGTTGTCGACCGATGTCTCGTCGCACATTTTGCGTTCAATTTGGAAAATTACAGCGAAAGCTTCTTCCCGAAAGAGGATGTGCTTTCCAAGTAAAACATATGCATACGGCGGATTTTTCGGCGCGATTTTATTACGCGGCTGCCGCAATTCGCGAAACGCAGTCGTAACGTGAATTATTTAGCGACGCCAAATATAAACGAACGTAGGCAAGGCAACGATAACGGCGATACGCGATAAATCAATATAATTGTAAAAATAATTAATACAGGTTAAGGACGATTAGGTATCGTCGGGATCTTGTCTCCCTTTTTCCGTGCGTATGAATAAAAATAAGGATACTTATCAATGTTGCCTTTTAATTAATTGCATTAAAGTAAGTGCATTCGGGGTCACACTGAGATTGGTTCGGACATTTATAAGAGACAAGGTGGATAGATATAGATATTGCATTTTTTTAAGGATTATATATTTTGTAGCTGAACGAAACGCAATGTGTGTGTATGTGTATAGGATCTTATCTTGTAAAATATAATTTTTTTATGATTATTCTAGATATAAATAATTCTATTTCATAAGATAAGATCGTACATATACACACTTCTTGTTTCGTTCAAGCTACAGAATAATCGATATAATCTTGAGAAATAATAAAAAAATATTTTTTGAAATTTTTACGACATGAATAAGAAAAGCATCTTACCTTTAAAGAACGTGGATTTCGTAGATCGAAAAATCTCGGAATAGACGGAATCTCGAATCTCTGATAATCGGTTAGTCTGAAAGGCGACATTTTTTTCACGCTTACTTACGACACGTTCAGCAGCGCCATCGTATCGATATGATGTGTTATCGATATAATATGTACAATATTTTTAATTACATTTGCAAAATTATGACTATGGTTAATAACAGAAAAGCGTAACAGAACAAAATATACATTAGTAAAATTATAAAAATTAATATTTTTATTTAACATTTTAAAAATAATTACACGTGCGATATTACACATGTAAATTTTAACTAATATAAAATAATTCCATCGGCGTAAATGAAAGATTAATTGGAATAATGGCTTGACGATGTAAATATGTTAACGAGAAAATGTATACAATTTGCAAAACTTGCTCATTTTTACGAAATTATTCGCGTTTTTTTAACAAGCGGGCGATTTTCTGTAACACGTGGCATAAGTAAAATTTAGCGGATGTAAAATGGAATGCCAAGGTCGTTAACCCTGTCTCGGTGGATGTAGTGACCTTAAGATATTATATGTAGATTATTTTCAAGAATAAACTGACCGAGTGCTATTTTTTATTCAAGTTTTGGCGTACATTTCATTCCGCGAAATGACGATATATATTATTTTTACGTCTTACCGCGAGACGGACTTTTATATTTCACTTTATCGTTGGCGGGAGAAAACTTGGTAGTAGAAAAGTACTAGAAGAGAAACTTACTGAACGTCAATCGTGGTAACGAACAATCTATGGTAGGTCATGAAAGGTATGGCGAGCATCACGCAAGTTGATACGAAGGCGAGCGGTATTAACTGAAACAGAGAAAAAAATGCACAAACTCTTAATAAAGTTGCCGATATTTGTCAGATGCTTATCGCCGTACACACGTAACACTTTTCTCACAAACTAGTTACGTGATAAGTAGAGAGTTGTCACAGCTGTTGTGCAATGCGATGTAATCGCGCATGAATATTGCCTAGCTCTCTACGTTAATTACTAACGCAGGTGCTTTGCTAAATTAAATATAAATCTCTTTGTCATAAAATTGAAAAATGTATAACATTTTTGTTAGTAAAATTAATTACATTTTTTTTTTGCATATTTTATTTGCGAAAAAATCGCAGTAAAAGTAGTCGCTTGTAATTTTTCTGAAAAATCTCATCCGGGATCTCATGACTCTCCCTAATCGATCGATCTGTCTTTGATTGTTGCAGCGCCGGCATGGAGGCGACGAACGGCGCGATCGAGCACGACTTCCACAACACCCTGGTGCCGATAAACGGTAGCCATTCGGGCAGCTCCGGCAGGAGTACGCCGAACGGCGGCGACCCGGCGCCGGGCAAACTCTTCGTGGGCGGCCTCTCCTGGCAGACAAGCAGCGAGAAGCTGCGGGAGTACTTTGGCATGTTCGGCACCGTTACCGATGTTCTCATCATGAAGGATCCGGTTACGCAGGTCGGTCTACCAAAATCCTAGAGCACAACTCTCGGCTTGCTCGCCCGATCAATTTACGGTTTTATTATTTCATCGTACGAGGCTGTTGCCAATGCTTGGTCGACGTGTTTATTATATTATCTCAGAATTATTTCTTGCAATTTTCTAGTTTTTTCGCTATTTTTCGGGAGATTATTTGATATTTTTTAAGAGGGCCGCTAGAAAGCTAAAAATAAGGTGTTTTTTTTGAATGTTTTTAAAATAAAAACTGCATATAGCGGATTATTCTAAAACTTTTAGGCATTTACTATTAAATATTTATAAACATGAAACAAATTTTTTTATTTAAAAATATAGCTTCTGTAGAGATCGCTCTATAAAAAGCCGCACCGCCGATTGCAAATTTGCGAGCATTCTCGTATCTCCAAATCTTGTTTGAAATTAAAAAACTAAAAATTTTCTTGTCATCAAAGGCGACATTCCATATTTTTATCTAAAAAAATTTTATACTTGTAAATATTTAATAACAGATGGCCAAAAGTTTCGGAATGATTAAGTGCAAAGTTTTTTCCCAAAAAATTTTCAAAAACCAATCTTACTTTTTGGTTCTCTATAAAGGCGGTTCTCTCTTAATTAATTTAATATTTGTCAGAGAGTTATCAAATGTTTGGTACAATTTATATGCTTGGAGATGATTGATAAAACAAAACGCGCGTTGCTTTCAAGATAATTAAGTTTGCATTATTAAAATTGATTAGGAAAAACAGCCTCGTATACACACACGTTGCCCACGCGTTTCCAAATCGCGTATCTATGTCGCGTATCAGCTGATTTGTGCCGGTATAAAGACGGTCTTCGGCGGGGCACGGTCGCGAGGAAGTCGCGAGAGAAAGGAGTTTTAACCTCGACAGGATTCGATGCACCAAGCAATCTCTCCTTCCACTTTTTGCACGAAACTATATATCCGTAGTAGACCGTAGTAGATGAGAAGTTGTACTAATCGGTGTAATTAATTGCTGATATAAAGTATCAAGAGAAAAAAGAGTAGATTGTATTAGGTATTTATTAATCGCATTAATCGCATTTTATATTAAAAGAAGTTGGGAAAGGCAAGAAGAAGTTCCTTTTTTTCTTTTTCTTGTCGGATTTGCGGGCGGGAGAAAATGTCGAATGCGGGTAGAATAAAGGAGATTTCTCGCGACGAGAGGGTGGGGCAGAGAGAGAGAGAGAGAGAGAAAGATGTAATACGTATACATATATATATATTTATATATATATCAGTAGCTCCTTAACGTTCGTAATGGATTTGAATCTTATCGCAGTCTTTGTTTCACGTAACATTAGAATGTTTGTCTTAAACATTGGCTTGGACAGTCTTGCATGCAAATGGTAGTTTGGTAGCACTAGTTAACCGTTCATAACAAGAGCTACGAGATCACCAATGACAGGATAAAGATTTCGAAGATTAGGATAATTTTGCAATAGAAATCAGGAAGCGAAAGCGCTACGTTAGGAGAAGAGATAGACGGATCAGTTTTAGTGACCATTCTGACAAGCTAAAAATAAAAACTAAAACAATAAATAAGTACTCTTATTTCGAATAACGATGAAAATTAAACTGCGTTGTAACGCGAAACTGAAATGATTTTTTACGTGGTCATGAAAACTCGCCCTTAAACGAGCAAAGGTGGAGATGTAGACGCGCGGTATCCCACCCACACGTCGGATGTGAAATGCGGTTTGATCGCGAGAGCGAGAGAGCAAAAATATAAGAAAAAAAACAACGCAAGAGAAAGAGGGCGAAACGCAGTAGACGGTCCATGTGCATCGTGCCGGTTCTCGGCTTGTTCGGTTACAGCGTAGCCGCGGTTTCGGTTTCATCACGTTCGCCGAGCCCGGCAGCGTGGACAAAGTCCTCAAGTGTCCCATCCACACCCTGGATGGCAAGAAGATCGATCCGAAGCACGCGACGCCGAAGAACCGCGCGAAACAGGCCAATCGCACCAAGAAGATCTTCGTGGGCGGTGTCAGTCAAGACACGAGCAGCGACGAGGTCAAGGTCTACTTCAATCAATTCGGCAAGGTGGAGGAGACGGTGATGCTGATGGATCAGCAGACGAAGCGTCATCGCGGTTTCGGCTTCGTGACGTTCGAGAACGAAGACGTGGTCGACCGTGTGTGCGAGATACACTTCCACACGATCAAGAACAAGAAGGTCGAGTGCAAGAAGGCGCAGCCGAAGGAGGCGGTGCAACCGGGCGCGCTCGCCCTCGGCAAGCGGGTGGTGCTGGGCGCCCTCGGCGTGAGAATCGCGCCACAACCGCCGCTGCCGGTCGCGGCGGCCGCCTCGCAGCTGGTGGCCGCGCAGGCCCAGGCCGCGCAGGTGCAGGCGGCCGCGGCCGCGGCCGCGGCGGCGCAGGTGCAGAACGCGGTGGCGGGTTACGGCAAGCTGTTCGCCGCTACCGGCGGTTATCCGGCCCTCTCGGCGTATCGATACGCGCCATATCCGATACCGGCCGCGGCGGTCGCGGCGGCCGCTGCCGCGGCGGCGCCGGCCGCACCGCCGGCACCGGCTCCGACACCCGGTGCGGCCGCGGCCGCGGCGGCTGCCGCAGCGGCGGCCTCCTCGCCGGCCGCGGCCGCCGCCGCCGCCGCGGCGCCCGGCAATCCTTATCAGGGTTACTCGCTCACCAACGTCGACATGTCGAGCTTCCAGGGCGTCGACTGGGGATCCATGTACGGGATGGGAATGTACGTTTAAATGCCGCATCTTCCCTGCCCCTACCACCACGACCTTGGCACTTGGGATACCTAGAAGAATTCGAAAGTGTCTCTGGAAAATGGCCCATCTTCCCCCTCTTCTTCCCCTGCAAATATGAGATGATACTCGACGAAGATAACTTCCGACTTGATGCTTCCGATTCGCCATTTCACCACCAGTCGTTCTCGCATCACCCCGGGAAGCGATGTTAGTAGAAATGGATTCTTCGATACTCTTTTGTTACGGAATGGAATCACACATACTTATATATATATATATATCTATATATATATACACACACATACACGGACAAAGGGAGAATGGATCCAATGAAGAAGGCTGAAATTTCGAGCGAAGAGCGCAAATATTGTCGAGCGAATGAACGATTATCCGACTGTGTGAAAATTTAACGAAACGATGAATAAGATTGTACGAGCGAGGCGAAGCTCTATAAGCAGGAGGATAAGGAGAGTAATCTGTGTGTAATTGTATATTCTGTTCGATCGTTTTTTCCCACATCGAACATATGGATTTTGGGTTCACTTATACTTAATTACTTAAATAATTTATTTACGAGCGTCGCAGGATCGAGGCTAACGAAACCTCATTACTACATGCGTTATTATTATTCTTTGAAATCCCTTTTGTCTTTCGGTTATCGCGCGCTCGGATTCATACATCGAGATCATTTTCTCTTAGAATTTACCTCCGAAATCATGATAATCGTGAGACGATATGTGGTAAGAGTTTCTCTGATTAATATTTACCACAATGAGATATTAATATTTTTTTATTGCGATAAATATTAATCAGTTAAGGAATTCTTAAAAATTCAATATTGTCCCACGATTATCATGATTTTCTGGTTAAATTGTAAGAAAAGATTCTCTCCGCGCACATACATTTCTCATTATCACACAAGTCATTTGCGTTTCAGCATACACTTTGGTTCCTATTTAGATTAACGCGTACGCATTATAGACTTGAACGAATCATCACGCTTTATCTACGTCGCCGCGCCCGTTACGTTAATTACCGATTAATTAACGCGATCCATCAGCGACGTTTGTTTCGACACAAATACACACACGCATGCATACATGCACACATATACACATATGACGTTCGCGATAGTTCCTTAGTTTTCTACTTGTTTTCCCAACGGCTGTTTTCTCGGCCACGAAGCAATAAAAGGAGAGGCGGTGAAAAACGACGCGAACAATTTATTCCGCCACGCAAAGTTTCGAGACAAAAAATTCGGTCGTTTACCTTCTTTATTTCCGTTCTTGCCTCTCGCGAGTTACATACACCTTTTTTTTTTTATCTATTTTCTCATGCCTTAATGATAACGGTACACATACATATATACATATTCGCCCAATACATTGTCGAGTCGCCTTCGACCTAGCGAAAGTATCGCGATGCATCGAACGAGAGATAGGCGTTTAATAAACAGAATATTCCGAGAACTGTCACTTTCGTATCGGAATTCTCCAAGGAAAACCCAAACTCGCTCGGACCCTCTTTCCTCTCGTCAGCGCGAGTCGAATCATTAGTGAATGACGTAACGTTAGAAAGACTAGATTCGCGTCAAGTGCCAAACGAAACGGAAGAGGGCGCATTTCACTTTGTCTCGCATCTTTTTCCAAAAGGTCCGGGCGACGAACCAACCTTATCTCCTCTTCGTTGCATCGCGCTTCCGAAGCTTCGTCGCTTTTCTCTAGGCCGGGCTCTCGCCTTTCCAGAGGCAACAGGTCAATACATACAATCCATTTTGCGCGGCGGTATCCGCGAGCGAGCAGACTCTCTCGAGATTACATACGTACGATATTATATACACACGAGTAAGAAACACGAGAGGAACACGTATATAACTATGTATAATGTATAGATATATACACACGTATATATATACATATATATTTTTCTTCAAATAATGGAAGACAATATTTCTCCGCTCTCCATCGCGTTAAATAAAAAATAAGACTAGCGACACACACACATACATACGAGCGTAATTCGATTCAGTTCGAATTGCGTTAACAAATAAGACTTTTAGCGACATACGAGTGTATAACGCGATATAATGTATAATCCGCGCAAGAAAAAAAAAAGAAAAATTGCGCTACGTAGTTGTGTTAAGAATTGATTGACAGTATCACACGTACTATCCCGCGACGTAACGTATTATTTATTTATTTATATAAATACGTTACGCCGCGGGCGATCGACGTCGACGTCACTTAATGAGCTCCTAAGAGAGTAGAGAGAAGGCGAGTCGGCAGTTTGATTTAAGTTAATCTTAAGCAGATAGCATTATATTGATGATAGCGGATATAGATACTTAATGAGCGAATAAATTCGTAACAATAAGGAATACAAGGGGACTCCTTTCCCTCCAGAAACGTGGAGGGAGGGTCTCGGCAAGTGCGCGAGAGAAAGAGACAGATACTTAAGAGATATTATATATATATTACGCATCTTTATAAAAATACTTACTTAAGAGAATTTGTGCGACTGTGCGTTAAATTGCGAGAAAACGGGAATTCAAGATTGAGATTAGCTCACGTGTAACTCAAGCGATAAAAATAGGGATTAAATTTTAAGTAATCGCGTAAGTTAAGTCACATTCGTGTGAGGAAGGTATTATAAAGATATTCGTTAAGGAATTCGCGAAAGAGAGGAAAAGAAAGAGAGAGATGGATATTTAATTTATTCGCCCCGAGATCGACTCGCCGCGACAATTAACATTTAATATTTTTTATTTGCGTTAGGGTATTCGTCATTCAAGCCAAGCTTTCGTGTAAATACAAGTTTCGATCAGTATCTATCCCGTCCCTTTTACATTTTTTTTTTGCTTTTATTTAAATTATTCGTATTACTACGAAAATTGTCGATTTGTATTTTTAGTCTGTAAGAAACTTTTCAATAGTTTTTTTTTTGCTTAATTTATTTTCTTTACTCTATCACATTTTTTATTTCGTATATTATCGATAGTTTGTAAGAGTGTTGAATGCGATGCGAGTGGGCCATTTATTTGCCCCAAATGATCTCATTTCGTCGATCGACGCGATCGACGAATCCCGAATATCTTCGCGCGAATATTTTCAATAGTCTGTTTTTCCGGGTAGAATTCAGAGTGAATTAGAATGAGGAGAGAAGATGATCGCCGGGGCGAGACGAACACGGGGCGACCCTTTAACGAGGGAGTCGTATGAAGGATGTGAGAAATTTCGAGCAATAAGCGATTGACTCAAACTTTAAACTACACTATTATTACGAGTATTATTAAACGAAACTACAAAAGTGCGTCTGCGCTTATTTGCGCACGTAATCGATAGAGAGATAATCTCCTAGGTATATATATATATATTTATATATATATATATATATATATATATATATATATAAATAAATATACGCAAACGAATACTCGAGATGCGAAAGGATTTGGATAATAATAAACGAGTGGTAAAAGCGCGAGGAAGGTTCCGAGAGCGCATTGGGGATTGGAAGGATCCGATCCTTCCGAAACAAGTAATATTCTCTAGTGATACTACATATATATACTTTAATATACATATATATATATATATATATATATATATGAACAAAAAAAATATAATTATATACATACACCGTAATACGTTAAGGATAACAAAACTCGCGAGTGATATTTATGACGTATTAAGGGAATAATTATACAAAAAAAAAATAATAAGAACGAAAAGTGAGAGAACGAGTAACATTTTAAGTGCACGTAGAGAGAAACGGACGAAACACGAAACGATGACAAGTAAGACAGTAAAAGTCGCGAGCGCGAGCCACGATGACGAGCGAGAGGATCGGCTTGAGAGGCGTACGTCTTGTTGCAGTTTTTCATTTTCTCGCTAAATCTCTGTGTACGTCAATAACGTGCGGAATGGGTGCGTATTTGACGAACCTCTCCCCCATGGGTAGATATCTCCGCGATATCGACGCGAACAACATCACCCGCCTTCCTTCTCCGTCTTCGATCCATCGTACCTCTTCTTCCATTCTTTCTCTCTCTCTTTCTCTCTTTTTTTCTCGCGGAAAATGGAAAACCAAATTTCGCGAACATCCGTTCGAACGTTTACAGTATTCCTTTTAGCATTTTCATGAATGGAGAAAAGGATGGAGAGAGAAAGAGGAGCCCTATTTTGGGGGTGTTTTTCCCTTTTTCCGAGTCGGTGTCGTCAAACGCGACCTTATTTATTTTCAAAGTTGTCTTTTGGAAGAGAAGAAATTTCCAGGCGGATTCTCGACGTCTCGCGTTCTGCGAAACTTTTTCGAAATACGAGAACCGGGGATCGAGGTTTCATTCGGTAGGTTCAATCTTTTTCAACACGATAAACCACCTGTGGATCCCCACCACTTACTCAAAATCGAGATTTTTTCATCTTCGAGATTTTTGCACCGTATTTTCCTCCCCGAAAATCAAGTATCCCGTCTATAGTTTCCATATATGTTCCATTACGGGTTGAAACAAGCCTCAACTCGGAAATTCAGGGCGACGTATATCCGGTATTATTAAATAACGCGATTTACTCCTCTCAGCTCGACGAAGAGAGGGAGCGAAGGAAGGTTTCTCGTCGAATTTCTCAGCAATAAATTTAGCCGTACGAGTCGCGTCGTGAAACATTCAAGTACGACGTTTCTGGTCACGTTCATATTTCGGAATAGAATCTTATCACCAGTACCCCGACGAGAGAGAAAGAATAGTATATTGTGTATCAAGTGCGGAAAGTTGACAATTGGTCTCGAGTGTGGGGGATGGACTGGGGGGGGAGGGGGGAGGGACCACCCCACACGAGTGAACAATTGTCAATCCGCACTTGATACACATACTATTTTGTATTGCAAGTGCAGGCAAAGTGGCTGTTTCAGCGCGTTTTCTGTGCGCGAGGCGGCCGATCGCACGCCGCCATCTTGCCGCGGCACGGTGGGGGAATAGCCGTGTTCAATACATTGCCTACGGCTTGAGACGTATACAATGACTTTTAACGCGGCTCAGTCGTAGATAATGGCTTTGAAACCGGCTTATTCACTCACCGCACAGTCGCCGCTAGATGGCGGCGAGGGAAATCGGTTGCTTTCGGCACAGAAAACCTACACCGAAAGTGCCACATTGCCTGCACGTGTAATAGAAATGATTTTTCCGGGCGTTTCCCGTAACGATCTCGCGGATCTTAACAGCGAAGCGTTATGAGCGTTATGATAATAAGGAGTTTTCAATCCGATATATCGCTTTCGCAAAACTCGCGAGAAGTTGATATCGCACTCATGTCAATTCGTTCCGCGCGACACGCGCTAGTATTCCTTGCATTTTGAATATGCAATTATAATTAAATCATAAGTATATGAAATCATAATCGTACAATCGACCTAGAGTCAAATCATATGTAGTCTAATCCATTATAGCCCATAACGTACGATGTATTGTGACGTTGTTGAGATGCAAACAAG